AGTAATTTTTCTTGTTTACACATTTTTCCAATTTTCCTAACACTGAGTACATATTTTTATTATTTAAAAAAAAAAGTGAGCACTTACCCTGACAAACTTGTTCCAGAAACTTCACTAGGAGAAGAATGACTCAGTGGTGAAGTAGAAGGTCTGAAGCTCTCCTGGTCATCCTCTGAGCCACGTCCACCACACTCGGAAGAAGTACTTTTCAAATCTATCAGAAAAGTGTATTTTCCAATAAGAAAATAAAAAAAAACAAAAAACTGTGTAATTTTGTGAATGTGATCAATTACTGAGATACTTACCAACATTTTTAGGTGAAACTATGCAATGGTTTTCAAAAGTCACATGCTTTTCACTGTTCCTTGTTTCAGTAACATACTCATTTTGCTTCTGATTGTCTCTACTATCTTGTATTTCTTCACACTGCCAAAGGGATGTTATTCTGGGGTTCCTTACTGATGAGTAACTACTAGACAGTGGAGGGGAAACTGAGGTAGCTTTTTCACTGTTAGCAGTATCTGGGAATTTGCTGTCAGTGGAAGATGTCTTCACATCAACTATTGCATTCTCATTCTCTCTTATATTTGTAACAACTGAATTTGAAGAGGTTATTGTTCTTAATGATTTTTGGTTCCCACTCTCTCCATTTTCACCATAAAAAATAGCTGCTGTGTTTTCTTTTGGTTCCCTTACACTTACATTAGTAGCACCTAAGTCCACTATATGGATGTCTTGAGTGGTTTGTTCTTTTGGCAAAGATAAATCCCAAATATCAGACATCCCAGCTCTTGAAAAGTTTTCCAATCCACCTTCATATCTACTAACTTCTGTTTTTTTAAGGTATTTCTCCATATCAAATGCATTGGACCCATTACTTTTTTCTAAATCATTAGGTAAGAAATGAGACACAATGGAACAGTGCTTTTGTTTGTCATCTTCTTGAAAAGTGTTGTCTCTAGTTTTATTTGAAAGAGCCTTGATCATGGCAGCAAGTTGGGAAGGATCAGTACTAACTGATGCATCTGCAATGGCTGAAGCAATGGTGCTTATTCTAAGTACAGAATCACCACTATCAGGCAGCTTGTCTTTGTAACTCTGGGGTTCATTGTTTATGAAGAAAGTGTCCTAGAAATGAGAAAATTAACATCAGATAAATTTACTCCAGTTTCATGCACATAAAAACACAGTACTTGCCCCTCATCCTTGGGGCATGTGTTCCAAGACTCCCAGTGAATGCCTGAAACCTCAGATACCTCTGAACCTGATACTGTCAGTCAGAACACATTTCTGGGCCAGGCG